TCTCTTCCTCCCCCTCCTTTCCCTCTCTTCCTCCCTCCTCCTTCCCTCTACTCTCCTTCCTCTTTCCTCCCATCGGGGTAATAACGGGCCACACGGATCCCACTTCGTAAAGCGGGATAACGTACATCATCATGCAGCCTCCCCCCCCCCCCCTCCTTCTCCATCTCCCTCCCTTCTCTACTCTTTCTCTCCTCCTAACCCTCTCCTTCTTTCCCTGTCCTCTCCTCTCCTCCTCTTCCTTCAAAACCCTTCCTTCTCTTTACCTTCTCATCTATCCTTCTTCTCCTGACCATTCTCCACCTCCTCCTATCCTTCCTTTTCCTTCCTCCTCCTCTTCCTTCCCTCTCCCTTCCTCCCACTCCCTCCTCCTTCTAACCATTCCCCACCTCCTCCTACCCTTCCTACCTCCTCCTATCCTTCCTTCTCTTTCCTTCTCCTCCTTCCCTCTCCCTTCCTCCCCCACCCTCCTCCTTCTAGCCCTCTCCCAATTCCTCCTTCCCTCCCCCCTTTATCCTCCTCTCCCCTCCCTCCTTTCTCCCCTCCCTCCCCTACAGCGAGTTCTCTCCGGATACCTGGACAGTATTTCTCCCCAGCGGCCGGAGGCGAACCAGAAGGACTTGTGTTTATCGAAAATGGGGGATGGCGCAGAGGAGGAGAGAAGAGGGGGAGGGGGAGAGGGGGGGAAAGAGAGGAAGGGGGAGGGGGAGGGGGGAGGGGAATAGAGAGGAGGGGAGGGGGGAGGGGAGGGGAATAGAGAGGAGTGGGAGAGGGGGGAAGAGAGAGGAGGGGGGAAAGGGGGAAGGGGGAGGGGAAGAGAGAGGAGGGGAGAAAGGGGGAAGGAGGGAGGGGAAGAGAGAGGAGGGGGAGGGGGGAGGGGAAGGGATGGATGCCTGAAACAGAAGCGCAGCATCTTTTGCATCGAGATTAAAGCGCATCTAATGAGAGAAGAAGAAAGTTGAAGAATAGGCGAAGAGAAGGGAGAGGAAGAGAGAAGAGAAGGAAGAAGAGAGGAGGAAGAAGATGCAGAGGGGGAGGGGGGATGAGAAGGGGGGAGAGGGAGGGGTCTGGGGAAAGGGAGAAGAAATAGGATATAAAACTAGAAATGGAAGGGAAGAAGGGGGGAGAGGATAAAACAAAATAAAATAAACAAAATATCGATAAAAAAACGCCAAGCTGTTTGCCGCAGCGTCTCGGCAAACCGAGCCGTCCTTACCACAACCTCCCCCCCCCTTCCCCCCCTCCTCCCTTTACCCCACAACCTCTCAGCTATCCCTTTTACCCCCCCCACACAACCTTTCCCCTCCCCATCATATCCCTCACCCCTTCCCCCTTCCCCTTCCCCTCAGCACCACGATAAGCAAGGTAGTCCCCTCCCTCCCTCTCCCCCACCTCCCCCTCCCCCTACTGTTGTTGCAATCGGTCACTTAGATCTCCGTTGCAAGGCCCGCCGCTGGAATGCCCTGCTGGACCTGCTAAGACAGGATGGGGGGGGGGGGTGAGAAGAAGTGGGGGGAGAAGGAGAGTAGGGGGGAGTGGGGATGAGGGAGGTGGTTATATCCCGGAAGGGGGAGGGAGAGGGAGGGGAAAAGGAAAGAAAGAGGGAGTACGAAAGGGAAGAGAGGAAATACAGAGAGAGAGAGAGAGAGAGAGAGAGAGAGAGAGAGAGAGAGAGAGAGAGAGAGAGAGAGAGAGAGAGAGAGAGAGAGAGAAGGGAAGAGAGCGAAAGAACAAACAGACAGACAGACAGACAGAGATACCGCAGTTAAGGAGAGAGAAGGGAATACAGGCAGAAGGGGGGGGGGTGGACGGCGCCATATGCAGCCAGAGCCCGAGGGCATGAAGAGCGCCATCTATCAGGGCAGCAAATGGGCACGGGGTGTCGCGCCGATAAGAGTGGCGCTCGGCTTATACAAGGAGATAGGGGGGGGGGGGGGGGGAGGGGGGAAGGGGGGGAAGGGGGGAAGGAGTGAAGGGAGCTGAGGAGAGAGGAAGTCAAGGGGGGAAGGGGGAAGGGGAAGGGAAGGGGAAGGGGAAAGGGGGAGAGAGAGAGAGAGAGAGAACTGCAAAGTACATAAATAATAAAGAGAATAACTAAGAAAAAATACAAAACAAAACAAAGAACGAAAAAAAATACAACCAACTCAAGGAAAAGAAAAAGGCAGATTTTCCCCTTAAAAGAAAAGGGTGGGGGGGGCAAGGAAAGGAACCTCCCACCCCACACCTCTCCCTGCCCCCCTCCCCCCCCTAAGCTAGGACCTCGCGGGGATAATTATCACGGTACGGGGGCGAAAAAAATCCTTTAATACGCTAAGTAGGCCATAAAACACCGAAAACACGATTTAATGGCTGTCGATTCGCGGAGTTCATAAATTTCTTTTATTTTATCTTTTTTTTATTTGATGGCCTATCCCCTTCCCCCCTTCCCCCCACCTCCCCTTCATCCTCTATTTCTTATCCTTTGCAGAAGTATTTCTTTCCTTCTCCTCGCCCCTCTCCCCCCCCCCTCTCTCTCTCTCTCTCTCTCTCTCTCTCTCTCTCTCTCTCTCTCTCACTCTCTCTTGTCTCTTCCATACTTTCCTCTCAGAATGAGAGAGAGAGAGAGAGAGAGAGAGAGAGAGAGAGAGAGAGAGAGAGAGAGAGAGAGAGGAGAGAGAGAGAGAGAGAGAGAGAGAGGACCTGGAGGAGGAGGAGGAGGAGGAGGAGGAGGAGAAGAAGGAGGAGAAGGAGGAGAAGGAGGAGAAGGAGGAGAAGGGGAGGAGGAAGGGGAAGAGGAGGAGGAGGAGAGGCCAAGGAAGAGGTGTTATCTGAGCGAAAGCACCCGCACAGGGCACCGACGGCCCCGCCTGGTCGCCGTCACCTCAAGGGGCGCCAGATAAACGCATCCTGTGCTAAAAGGCGTAGGACACGTCCAAAGGACCCCTCCCCCCCATACGGCTCCTTCGGCTACCCCTCCGTCGTGAGCTTATCAGGGAGGAGGATGAGGGGGGGGGGACTTCGAATACATTGAGATCATTCTTATCTATAATTCTTTTCTTCTATTCTCCGTCGGGGGTTCCTTCTGTAGGAGGGGCCCTTTGTCCTTTCTCCCCCCCCCCCCCCTCTCTCTCTCTCTCTCTCTCTCTCTCTCTCTCTCTCTCTCTCCCCCCCAGGTTCCTCAAGACAGGACAACAGACATCTCCCGGGGGGCCTCCTTACCCCTCCCTCTCCTCACCCCCCCCCCCCCTTCAAAGTGAAACGGGAGTCAAACCAGCCTTCTACTTTCCCCACCCCCCTCCACCTCTAACCCCTCCCGCCCCAGCAGCTCGACACCCCCTCCTCCCCACTATCTCCTTCCTATGCCCTTGTCCCTCTCCTCATCCCCCTTCCCCTCTCCTCTCCCTCCCCTCCCCCTTCCTTTCCACCTCCCCCTACTCCTTCCCTAGCTCCTCCCCCTACCCCTCTCCCCTTCCCCATCCCCTCCCCCCTTCCCCAGGCATTAACATACCACTTACCACACGCCTGCAATAACACACACACACACACACACACACACACACACACACACACACACACACACACACACACACACACACACACACACACTCACACACCTCTGTCGCCTTGATAGCCCAGGGGAATATTAATATTTATGGTGTCCAGCCGAGTGTTTAGTGTCATCGGCGCGGGCGGGTGGATGGGTGGGTGGGTGTGGGCGGGCGGGCGCTAGAGGAAGGTGTGTGGGGAAGGGGGAGAGGGAGAGGGAGAGGGAGAGGGAGAGGGGGAGGGGGAGGGAAGGGAGAGGGAGAGGGAGAGGGGAAGGGAAGGGAAAGGGAGAGGGGGAGGGGGGAAGGGGGTTGCTTGCCTGCTTACCTCCCCCATCCACGCTTCCACGCCCACCCGCCCACACCGTGACACAATGGGCGTCGGGAACCGATTCTAAATCAGAAGGCGACATCACCGAGATTTATTACACGGGAAGCGCATTCAATATTCCCTCTCTCTCTCTCTCTCTCTCTCTCTCTCTCTCTCTCTCTCTCTCTCTCTCTCTCTCTCTCTCTCTCTCTCTCTCTCTCTCTCTCTCTCTCTCTCTCTCTCTCTTTCTCTCTCTCTCTCAAATAAGTTTATTGACATTATAAACTGACAAAGCATCCAAGACAGTGCAGGTTAATGGGAGTGGGGGGGGGGCGAGGGGGCGTGAACTGACCCGAGGTCCTTGATCCTTGTCGGAAAGAGGAATCAACTGATCAGAAAAAAAGAATAGAAAAGAGAGCAAAGGTGGAGAAAGAAAGGAGAGAAAGGAAAAGAAATGGGGAAGGAGGAAAGGAAGAAGAGAGGGAGAGACAATGAAGAGAAAGGGAAAGAGAGAAGAGAGGGAAAAAGAAAGAAGTGAAAGCGAACACATGTAGAGAGAGGGAAAAGAAAAAAAAGAGAAAAAAGGAAAGAAAAAAGAAATGGAATAAGAAATGAAAGGTGAAGAAAGAGACAGAAAGAAATGAAAAGGAAAGAGAGAAGAGAGAAGAGAGAAGAGAGAGAGAGAGAAGTAGAAACAAATAAATAACAACAGGAACATACACTCCTCCCCCCTCCCCCACAAGGCCACTCACACCTTCCACCATAAATCAAACGACAATATCATCTTAAAAAAAGAACGTATAATAATGTTTTTTTAAAAAATGAATCGGTTATGAATATGCATGGCGCACATCCCCGCGATTTTGGGTAATGGCGAAATTTTAATCTGGGTTTCAGTGTGATGAATGACGGCGCCACTTCCGCCTAAAGAAAGGGTTTGCCCACAAGATCAAGTGACAAGGAAAGTGGTGATGGTGGTGATGGTGGTGGTAAAAATGATTATAATTGATGATGATGATGATGATGATGATGATGATGATGATGATGATGATGATGATAATGATGATGACGACGATGATGGTGGTGGTGAAAATGATTGATGGTGGTGAAAATGATGATGATTGATGATGATGAAAATAATGATGATGAAAATGGTGATGGTGATGATGAAGGTGACGCTGATATAACAACAATAATAACGATAAAGAGGACAATTGTGTAAAATATAATAGTAAGTACTCTAACTTTCCCTTGACCCCCCCCTCCCCCCCAAAAAAAAAGAAAAAAAAAAATCTGACGTTGACCTTTGACCCGGCTTACCTTGGGGTCGGCGAGGATGGGGTGGTCGACGACGCCGGGGAAGAAGACCTTCATGACGTAGGCGCGGTGGTCCAAGGTCGGGATGCCGGAGGACTCCAGGTCGGCGGTCAGGTCGGTCATGTCGGTCTGCAGCTCGGCGAAGGCTGGGGGAGGGAGAGACGAGACAGGTCAAAAGGGGGGAAAGGTCAAAGGGAGATCAGGTCAAGGCGAGGCGATGGAGAAGGGTGCCAAGACGAATTCAAAGGTAGATTTTTTTCTTTTGTTCTTCAATGAAAAAATATAAATAAGTAAATAAATAATAAATAAAAACTAAATAAAATAAATATATACATTCGCCTATCATATCTTGTTCGCAGATACACACACACACACACATACAAGCACACACACGCAATAAAGATATCGAAAGCAAAACAGGATCAGACTAGAATGATGATTTAAGATTTCGTCTTGGGTACAAGTGGCACTAATTGCCACCGAGCTACTGCAAGACTCATATAAACAGACCTAGAAACACACACACACACACACACACACACACACACACACACACACACACACACACACACACACACACACACACACACACACACACACACACACACACACACACACACACACACACACACACCACACACACACACATACGCACACACACACATACGCACATACATTTATACACACACACAAACAGGGATCGAGGCGACGGTACCGAGGGACCATTAACGTAATCGTATGATAAATTAGCTTCATTAAGGGCCATCCCTTCCCCTGACCTGCCAGGTTTGGGTTACTGTCCACGCCTTAGGAATGGGGAGAGGGGGGAGAGGGAGAGGGAGAGGGAGAGGGAGAGGGAGGGAGAGGGACAGGGAGAGGGAGAGGGAGAGGGACAGGGGAAGAGAGGGAGAGAGAAGAAAGGAAGAGAGGGAGAGGAGGGGGAGAGGAAGAGAAGAGGGAAAGCGGAAGAGAGGGAGAAGGAGTGAGGAGAGAGAGAAAGGGAATGGGGAGAGGGAGTGGGGGAGGAAGAGAGAGATGGAAATGGGGAGAAGGAGTGAGGAGAGGGAGAGAGAGTGAGAAAGAAGAGTGGGATAGGGAGAGGGAAAGGGGAGAGTGAGAGGGAGTAAAAGAAAGTGCGAGTGGGAAATAGGGAGCGAAACAGAGGAGAATGAAGGGAAGGGGAGGGAAGGGGAGGGAAGGAGAGGAAAGGAGAGGGGGAGGAGAAGGGGAGGAGAGGGAAGGTGAAAGGAGAGGGGGAGAGGGGGGGAGAGAGGGGAGAGGGGAAGGAGAGGCACGCGCCAAGGACATCACAAGGATTATGAGGATCATTCGAATAGATTTGTCGACGGATGCGGAGGAGGACTAGATGAAGAAAGGAAGTGAAAACGTAAGAGAATGCATAAAAAAGAGATAGCAAGAGAGAGTGAGAGAGAGTGAGAGAGAGGGAGAGAGAGAAGAGAGAGAGAGAGAGAGAGAGAGAGAGAGAGAGAGAGAGAGAGAGAGAGAGAGAGAGAGAGAAGAGAGAGAGAGAGAGAGAGAGAGAGAGAGAGAGAATTAGCAAGAGAAAGAGAAAGAGAAAGCGAAAGAGAGAAAGAGCACCCCTCCGCCACCCCCCTCTGCTGCTTCCGAGCGTCCTTCGCCTCCTGAGTTCGGGGGCGGCGACGGCGGCGGAGCTCAAAGAAGCCGCTCATTACGGCGGGCGGAAGGGCGGGCGTGTTGACAATAAAAACAGGGCCTCCAATTAGCGGCCAAGAGGCGTGGCGGGGAAGGGCGGCCGCGGCCTCGAGGAGCCTCAGCGGACCGGACACATGCAGGAGTCGGGAGGGGCTCGGAGGGCGGGGTGGGGGTGGAGGTGTGGAGGCAGGATGGGTACTAATCATTGGTGTTATTTTCTTTCGCTGGAGGGGGGGGGGGATAACGGGAAGGTGGTGTTTGAGCCAAGGGCGAAGGAAGGAAGGAAAGGGAGACATGTCGCTCGAGTTACCTTGTTTACACTCGGTGCGGACGTGGCTCTCGAGGCTGTCCATCTGCAGCTGCATGAGCTTGTAGACCCTCTCCGCCTGCGAGGACTTGCGTCGGTACACGGCCAGCACCACGAAGGACGCTAGCACGAGGAACAGCGCGCCGCCGGCCAGCCCCGCGATGCCCTCGGGCGTCAGGGGGAACCTGCGGTGCCGCTCGTAGCGCAGGACGCCCAGCGGGTAGCGCAGGTACTGGCCCACGTGCACCACCACGAGCGGCAGCCGCTCGGGCGTGGACGCCCCGCGCTCGTCCGTGGGCGCCGGCTGGTCCTCGGGGGGCGTGCAGACCAGCTGCGTGGCGGCCAGGGACGTCACGTTGCAGACGGCGGTGCCGATGGTCACCCTGACGTCGCTCTCGTCGGCCGCGTCGTTGATGTGCTCGCCCTCGATCACCAGCGTGTCGCCCTTGTAGAGCTTGACGCCGTGCGGGAACGTGTAGTAGACGGGGTCGGCGAGGTAGACGAGGCGCGAGCGCACGCTGGGGAAGTGCTTCCGCAGGTGCAGCACCGACAGCACGCCGTCCATCACGAAGCCCACGTCCACGCCCACCTCGTCGCCGTCGTGGTCGCGCCGCCGCGGCGACCGCTGCGCCTTGTGCGACCTGCGGCTGCGGCTGCGGCGCCTGCGGCGGAGGGAGTCGTGGGCCTCGAGGATGGCCAGGACGGCGTCGCGGTCCAGCGGCGGCGAAGGGCACTCCATCTGGCCCGGGCTCAGGACGCGGCACGCGGACGAGTTGAGGACCTTCTCGAAGAGGTTGACGGTGATCCGCGGCGCCTGGATGGCGTCCAGGTTGGAGCCGTGCACCGTCACGAGGCGCCCGCCGCCCCAGGGGCTGCGCAGGGGCTTCAGCTCGAACACCTGCGGGTCGGGCGTGTAGGTGTAGGGCGTGGCGAGGGAGCGCCGCGCGCCGTCCACCGTCACCACCAGCGTCCGCACCGCCACCGGCGCCTCCCCGCCCTCGTGCGCGCCCGACGCCCGCGACGTGGTGCACACGAGGCGGTGCGACGACGACTGCGTCTTGTTGACGACGCACGGCAGGTTGTCGAGGGTGGCCGCCACGTGCGAACCCACGTTGAGGAACCTGCCGCTGACGGAGAGCACGGTGCCGCCCGACACGGGGCCCCGCGGCGGCCACACGCCCGTCACGCTCACGTTCTGTCGGGGAAACGGGAACAAACATTAGCAAGAATGACAGCAACCGACGAGGAAAAATGCACGAACAAGCAATAAGAGCGCTGCTCCACAGGAGAAGGAAGCCCACGTACCGTGTATGTGAATTTGACGGTGGACTGCGTGGTCCCCGCGGGCGTGGTCACCCTGACGGGGAACTGCAGGTCGGCGGAGTCGGACGATCCGTGGCGGAGCGGCGCCGGCCCCGTCACGCACGTGATCCGTACAGACACGTGGTACTCGTGCACGCGGCAGGGCACGTCGCCGATGAACACGTTGTCCCGCACGTCCTCCTCGCGCAGGCCCAGGTTGCTGCCCTCGATGGTGACGAGCGTGCCGCCCTCCAGGGGGCCCATCAGCGGCTGGATCTGCAAGGGAAGAGGGCGTCAGCAGGCGCTCGAATTCTTATCTCAAAGGCGAGATCAATAGACAACGCCAACAATAACAAAGCCACGCAGAACAGCGGCCATTCCGATGCGGCAAAAACAGACGCGCCAAACGCGACTCTGCCGTCGGGAAAAAGGGAAAAAAAGAAAAGAAAAAGAAATAAATAAAAATCGCCATCCACACCGCCCCGCTGACCGCCGCCGCAACATGGCTGCCATCTGCAACGCACCCTTTGCAACATGGCGGGGCGGCACACGACGGCCGCCCACGCCACGACCGGGCGGCCATACGGCGACGCGGATCATAACGTGTGACACTGTTATTACGCCCAGTCACGTCACCCCCCCCCCCCCAGCGGCACCGCCCGCGTCAATACTCGCACGCGCCAACGCCGGCTTCTACGCGGTGTCTCCATTGCTTGCAACAATGCAACGCCACGGCAAGCAAGGGAAGTTGGCCCAAATACAAAAGAAATTACTAATTACGATATAATTATCAACGATAATTATAACGTAACACTAAATCTCTATCGACCTGGAGGAAGGCGTCGGCGGCGGTAGAAAAACAACCCCCTAATTCAGCGAAACGACGAGAATAAGAAAGAAGGAAAAGGGAGAGAAAATGAAAGACAGAACAAGACAAAGCATGGAAGAGGATGAGGGGTTATAAGGAGAACGGCGAAGAGAGAAAGAGAGAGAAAATAAGAGGAAAAGAAAGGATGAAATGAACGTGACATGAAAGAAGAAACAAACGCGACGAATAAATAAATGAATAAGTAATATAAACAAGACAGAAACAAACAAACAAAAAAAAAATACATTAACAACACCGCCAAATCAACATAAAAAAAATACACAGACAACACTCTCCACAGCATTTTCAACGATCAATCAATCAAACGAACAAACAATCCAAACAGAAAAAACACTTTTGGCCAACCCCTTGCGCCCCTTCCCCCCCTACCCCCCAGACAGGACGCCCACAAACGCCCACCGCGGATCAACGATGGGGCGGCGTGGGCGGTTTCGGGGCAATTCAATCCAGTCAGACACACAGATTCGCTCCTCCACGACAATAACAACAACAAAGACAACAGCAACATGAACAATGACAACAAAGACAACAGCGATATGAACAATAAAAAAAAAAACATGAACATGAACAACAAGAACAGCAGATTGAACAACTACAACAACAGCAATATCGACAACAACTGCAACTACAATGACGACAACAACAACAAAAACAGCAACAGGAATAGCATTGATAAAGACGCTACGAGAGAGAGAGAAGAAAAATTGGTGTGCTTTTTGCGTGTTGCTCCCCCCCCCCTAAAAAAAAGAGGGGGGGGAGTAGTAGATCAGGTTATGATAGAGAAAAGGGGGGAGAGGGGTGTGGGGAGAAGGGAGGAGGAGAGGGAGAAATAGGGATATAGAGAGAAGAGAGGGGAAAGGAAAACAGGGGAAGTAGTGGATCAAATTATGATAGAGAAAAGAAAGAGGGAAGAGGGGAGAGGGGGGTGGTAGAGAGAGGGAAAAGGGGGAGTAGCGGGAGGGGGAGAGGAGAAACGGGGGGGGAGGGGTAATAAGTAGTGGATCAAGTTATTATAGAGAAAAGGGAAGAGGGGAGAGGGGGGAGTAGAGAGAGGAGAGAGGGGAAGAGGAGGAAGAAAGGGGGAGAGGGGGAGAGGAAAAAAAAAAGGAAAGGGGTCACACCATCGTTCAAACCAGCTGACAGTTGGCATAAGGGCAGTAGATTACAGTTTCTCGGCAACGTACGCTATCATGTGTTTCTCCCTCGCACCTGAGACTTGATGGCTATCACCTTCCCCCCTTTCCCCTCCCTATCTTCCCCCCTCCTCCTTACCTCTTCTCCTCTCTCCCTCTACCCCTCTTCCCCCTCCTCTCCATCTTCTTCCTCCCTCTCTTTCCTCCATCCCCCACCCCCTCCTTCCTTCCTTCCTTCTCTCTTTCCTCTTCCCCTTCCCCTTCCCCTTCCTTCCTTCCTTCCTTCCCTCCTCCCCCTTCTTCCCTTCCCCCTCCCTTTCCCTCTCCCTCCGCCAACCCCTCCCCCTAAACCCCAACCGACCAATCACCGCCCTCCTCTCAGACGGCCGCCGATGCATCATCATGTGTATTCCTGTCACGGGCCTCATCATTGGACGCGGGCAAAAACAAATGGACCAATCACGAGGGCGCTTCCGATGCGTCATAATCGGTCGTTCTGTCACCTGGCCTCGTTCCCGCGCCCTCGCCCCCGAATTATGACGGCACGAATGGAAACGGCCTGCCCTCCGCGGAGGCCGGGGGGAGGGAGGGAGGGGGAGGGGGAGAGAGAGAGGGGGGGAAGGGGGAAGGGAGAGAGGGGAGGGGGGAAGGGGGAAGGGGAGAGAGAGAGAGAGAGGGGAGGGGAGGGGAAAAGGGGATGGGACAGGGGAAGGGGGGGAAGGGGGAGGGTAGGGGGAAAGGGGGATGGAGGGTGGGTCAGAGGAAGGGGGGAGGGGAGAGGTAGAGGGTGGGGGATGTAAGGGGAGTAAATGAGGGGAAGGGGGAAGGGAGTAAAAGATGGGACGGAAAGACTAAGGGTGATAAAAAAAATGTAAAGAAAGGGGAGAACGTAAGGAAGGAAAGAGAAGAAGGAAAAAGGGGAAGTTATGGAGTAAAGGAAGGGAGGAAAATAAGATAAGAAAGGGGGAGACGAGAGTGAAATAAGAAGGAAGAGAAAACAAGAAGGGGAAACAAAGGAGAAGAGGAAAAGGGAAAGAAGGAAGAGGAGACGCGAAAGGGGACTGAAGGAAGGCTAAGAGAGAATGGGGAGAGGGTGGGAGAGGAGAGGAGGAGGAGGAGGAGGAGGAGGAGGAGGAGGAGGAGGAGGAGGAGGAGGAGGAGGAGGAGGAGGAGGAGGAGGGGGAGAAGAAGTGGGGGGGGGGGTTCCGACGCTCGAGACTAACCCCATAGCCTTCATTACCCCCCTCCCCCCTCCCCCCTAGCTCCTTGCCCTCCACGAACGAGAACAATGAAGATGAGGGTAATGATGGGAAATTGGACGAAGCTAAAAAAGAAAACAAACTGCGCGAGAAAAGACGAAGACCGGGACGAGGAGAAGAGAGGGGGGGGGGGGGGGGGAGAAGAGAGGGGCAGAGGAGAGGAGAGGGTGAGAAGACAGGAGAAGAGAGGGGAGGCGAGAATGGAGAGAAGTAGAGTGGAGAGGAAAAGAGAGGAGAGGAGAGGGTGAGAGGTGAAGAGAGGAGAGGAAAAGAGAAGAGAGGAAAAGAGAGGAGAGGAGAGGAGAGGAGAAGAGAGGCGTGCGGGCGGAGTGAACAAGGAAGGCAAGCGACGAGGGACAAAGAAGGAATAAATAAAGTGGAGACAAGAGGAAACAAGAGGACAGAGGAGGGAAGGGGGCGGGACAATGGGCGGCCCTCACCTCGTTCCGTATAAGCTTTCCATATACCCACAGCGTGAAAAGCGTTGTTATTAGGAAAACATGGACAAAGGAAGGAAAGAAAATAGAGTGAGGGAGAGAGGGAGAGAGAGAGGGAAAGAGAAAGAGAGAGGGAATGAGTGAGAGTGAGAGTGAGAAAGAGAGAGAGAGAGAAGAGAGACGAGAGAGAGGACGAGAGAAGCTGAGAGAGACAGAGCAGAGAGAGAGAGAGACGAGAGAGGAGAGAGGAGAGACAGGAGACGATGAGAGAGCGAGAAGAGAGAGGAAACTAGACAAAAATAAAAAAGATATACGAAATTGAACGCACAACACACACACATACACACATATATCCATATAAACATGCGAACATACATAAAAACACACACACACACACAAATAAACGGATATGACTTCCGCAGAATTATAAAATAAAATAAAATGCAATAAAACACTATGCTAATCCAACATAACGTGACATCATTATCCCCACAAACAACGGATTTTTCGTTGTTTTTTTCTTCCTTTCCCTCTCTCTCTTTCTCTCTTTGGAAACTCCATCACGTAATACAGGCCAAACACGGAAGGTGAGAAAGAAGATAGAAAAATAGAGAGAAACACTGGATAAGAAACCGACAGAGAGAGAGAGAGAGAGAGAGAGAGAGAGAGAGAGAGACAGAGAGAGAGTGAGAGAGGAGAGAGAGAGAGAGAGAGAGAGAGAGAGAGAGAGAGAGAGAGAGAGAGAGAGAGAGAGAGAGAGAGAGAGAGAGGAACGGGAAAGTGAGAAAGAGTAAGGAAAAGACAGAACGAGAGAACGAGAGAAAAAGAAAAAGAGATAAAGAAACACAGAAGAGACGGAGGCTAGAAAGACGAAGCGAGGTTCATCGTCACAAGTAAAAACAAAGAAAGAAACAAGAGAAAAACAAACAAGACACAAAGCAAAGGAGGTTATGGTGATGGAGACGAGGGAATTAATAGTGTAATTCCTCTCTTGTTCTCTCGCTCTCTCTCTCTCTCTCTCTCTCTCTCTCTCCCACAACTCGTAAATAACCCTTGCATATGGACCTTCCCACAATCTCCCTTTTTCCCACCCTCCCTCCCTCCCTCCTTACCTCCTCCTCCTCCTTCCTTCCTCCCTCTCCTCCTCCTCCTTCCTGTTTCTTCTTCTTCTTCTTCTTCTTCTTCTTCCTCTTTCTTCCATCCACACGCCCTCTCCACCTTTCCACACTCCACACTCCACCTCCTCCTCCTCCTGCTTCCTCCCTCCCTCCCTCCCTCCCTCCTTCCTCCATCCTCCTCCTCCTGCTCCCTCCCTCCCTCCCTCCTCCCTCCTCCTCCTCCTGCTTCCTTCCTCCCTCCCTCCCTCCCTCCCTCCTCCCTCCTCCTCCCTTGCGTACAATTTTCTCTTTACTCTCCGTCCCTAAATCATGGCCGACGTTTGCCTAAGTTGATGATGGTGAATAACAGCAGTTACGGGCTTCCCTCGCGCTCGGCCGGGAGACAGGGCGAGGAGCGCATGGGGAGAGGGAGAGGGAGAGGGGAAGAGGGGGAGAGAGGG